ATACGAGACAATATAGTTACTGGATTTATTGTATTTTGATATTTTATGTTCAGCAATGGACTAATGAAGGAGCTGTAATGATATAGATAAAAATTATGTGATGATATTGTAAAGTGTTTATAAAGTATAATTTTTTTTTATCGAACAGGGTGACAAACGAGCACATAGTCCACCTGATGGTAAGTGGTTGCTGTGGCCCATAGACATCTACATTTATCCTCAATAAAGAATCAAAATGCAGATGCGTCGTCACCCGTGAGGACTAAGATGGAATGCCTCTTTTCCAGTAAAATGGGTCTCCGGTTTTCTACACTCACCATACGAAACACAGCAATGTCAAGCTGCCATTTTACGCAAGAGCGTGGTCCTTCTCCGGTCGAGCCGACCCATTCGTGCTACAATTATACTACTAATATAACTGCAGCATGGCTCTACCACGTAAATATGGTGTTATCACGCGTAAGCTCCAAGACTATTCAGATAATTTACCTTATTGACGTTTTCGTCACAACTGTGTCACCACCTTTACTCCTTTTGAGTTTATTACTGTATTCCAAGCACTGTTTGTTTATAAAATTATCACGCGTTTTGAAACAAAGGCTGCGCTCGACGAAACGTTTCGAAATGATTTCTGAAACGACTCGAACATAGGTACCTATAAGTGCTGCGTATTTGTGAATGAAACGATAACCTTAATTGAAATATATATATGTATATCGAATGGTGTCTGGATCTGGTTAAGGTATACAAAGATATTCCATATCACGTTTACGAGAAAACAGTTTTGTTTTTCGGTTAATCTATGCGTCAATTTGGCTTGGTGCAAATTAAGTCTGGCTGGTTGATGAATAATAACACTAAAGTAATAGAATTACATACTTAACTGGTAAATACATTTAAATATGAATAAAATAGCTAATGAATAGAATGAAGCTATAAAAGATAAGCTCAATTTAATGAAAACTTATTTCACGTCGCCACTAATAAATGCAAGTTATGAGTCGGAAGTCTTTAAGACGGAAGTCTTGTTGTCTATGACATTTCCTTTTTTTTTACACGTCAGACACACGCCAGCGCAGCTGGTGATCGGTGAAGAATTAATGTAATGTTTTGAAAAAGTCTGTTAACAAGTTTCTGAATGAAAGGAAGCCCCGGCTAGACTATTGCAAATTGGTTTCTGAGTGTTCTGTCGCCACCCAGCATGGGAAACGTTCAAGTGGATGAGACGCCAGTCGTAAACGAACAAAAAATATTAATTTATTTGTCGTATGAGTATCAGTGCAATTTACATGTATCTTAAATTAGGTATATGTTATTAGTGGTTGTGTTTTGATACTTTTATTGGCAGCATCATCATATCTACTTAAACATACGCCTCTGCCAAATATTTGATGATTTCATTCATCCTACTAATATTATAAACGTGAAAGTTTGTGAGGATGTATGCATGTATGGATGTTTGTTACTCTTCCACGCAAAAACTACAGAATGTATGTTAATGAAACTTTACAATAATATAGCTCATACATCAGAACAACACATATGCTATAATTAATAAAGATATCGTGTAAATTGGCCCAAATATAACGATAAGTGATGTAAGTCGGAAAAAATCTGCCATCTGCGAGATAATTTGGCGTGCGGTGCAAAAACTGTAAGAGAACAAATATAATGTATGGTGAAATTGTTTTTCCTAAAAGTCCGCGACAGTATATATTTGTCTTTTATGTGTAAGCCATAATGATGGATCACCTATGGTTTAAAGTACAATATCTACGCGGACGAAATCGCGCGCAAAAGCTAGTTTTAAATAACTTTGTCTTCAAGTTAAATTTACCTACAAGAAATTTTTATTGTTGTATTTCGAAGCCAGAATCTAACTGGGATCCTACAGTGTTATGTGTAGTCCAATGGATTTCATCACAAAATGATGTTAACAAAGGAAAAAGCTTAAGAAAATGAGTCTGAAAATGGACTCGGCTTGAGACACGACAAACAAAACAAGATTTACTTGAATACATACTTACCATGTGGTTATTCTACATATTTAAATGTTATATTTATAATACACAATATATTTTGCTCAAAGTAAAATATTGTTGGCGGTAGTAAAAGTTTGGTCAATAACACACAAGTTAACCGGAAATAAAAAGTTGAACTAACAACGTCTTAACTGCTTTATTCCTTGCTCTTAGGTCTTAATCATGCCGCCATTAAAGTCATAGACAAAAGACGCGAGTTGAAAGCGTTCAATATTGTTTTTAATGGATTGTGTCAATAGCGGCCGCGTTTGCCGCCGCCCTTTTTTAAATTTAAAACCACTTCAGCGACTAATCAGATTTGTAAAGTCGACGTTTTGGTGCTACCGTTTTTTGGGTTCAATAAGTTAGGGGTGATAGCGGAACATACAAAGACATAAATAACTGCGTCATCTTCATGTGATTTTAAAATAGTAATGAGTCTTAAATGTCTTATAGTTTTGCGCAATATTCAAAACTATACTCTTTTGATAGGCATCAAAACATTATTTAATTATTAGTATTATACATTATATAGAAATTATTTAATACCAGCTGTTCCCCGCGACTTCGCCCGCGTGTAATTTAGGGTTTTAATTTTGTTGCGCGGAACCCTAATAATTTTTCTAAAATATACCTAAGTAGCCTAAGTTACTCCTTATAACATGAGCTATCTACCAGTGAAAGTCCCATCAAAATAGGTCCAGCCGTTCCGGAGATAATATATTATTTTCATTGATATTTAGATGATGGGGCTCTATATCTGTCAGTCCACCAATAAGTACCTAGGTACTATCTTCATACCTTTCTTTTTAGATAGGTATATATCATCACCATCATCCCTACCTATCAAAGTCCACTGTCTAGTGTGAGAGGGGGGGGGGGGTTATGGAGGTATTTTCCATAGTTACTGCTCTAGGCAGTTTTTTTTACTATCTCATGTTTCAGTTACCTTTGTCGCCTCTTAAGCCGCGTCTCCAAAGTTTTGTTGTCAACAACAACAAAACATGTTTCCATTTTCGGCGGCAACAGCAAAGGAATACGCTTGTTGTCAACATTTGTTCCCTTGGTGGAGACGCTTGTTGACAGAAATATTTGTTGGCAACACGTGTTGACAACTGTTGTGTTGGCAACAAAACTTTGGTGGAGACGCGGCTTTATGACACCCACGGGATGGTACCCCACTACTCAATGTAGGGATGGGCAAGGGGAAAAAATATATCGATATATATCGAATCTATATTTTTAAAAAGTATCGATATATATCGCGTGATAAATATCGATATATCGTCAACATTTGCATGATGTAAAGATAAGGTCAAAAATTTTATTTACTGACGGTTGGACGACGAAAAAAATGATACAACATTTTAAAATATATCGAAATTGATATATATCGATATTTTTATTAAAAAATATCGATATTTCGATATATCGTTATTTTTTGCCCAAGCCTAACTCTATGGTAGTGGATGATCTTACGCCGCCGGTGACTCTATTCTTAAATATAATAATAACTAAATGGATGGTAGACTTAAGGGACTTCGATTTAGATATCATTATCGTTTTTTGATATTGTTAAAAATCTACTCGCACCTTACTATACTTTTTTCAAAGTGACTAAAGTCGGCGATTGGCTGAGCGTTTCGGTTTCTTTGTGTCGAACGCCATAATGGCTGAAGAAAATAAGGTTCATGAACACGCCGCATGGGAAAATATTTAATTAGACAATAGCTTATTTGTGTTTGTTTTGTGTTAATGTACTCCTTTTGAAACGCTGGGCGCGGACAATTAGCACCTGCGGACCGACGGTTCCCGAACGAACGCGCTGGGTTATACCGTTTTACGACAAGTCAATCTAAAACTCAACGCGCAATTAGTCTTTCTTGTGTTTCCAAAACTTTGTTACCGTTTATGATTTGACCACGAAAAGGTGACATATTACACGATGAAAGTGGAGGGAAAACACCACAGCTTTTTTATTGGTTCGTTTAGAAATAACGTTATATATAAACGTTTAGAAACTTGTGTTTGTAGATAAAAAATATTTTTACTTTTTTTGCATCATTATTTAAACAGTAATAGGATATTCATTAAATTTCATTTTGTTCTTAGTATATAATAGATTTATTCTGGTAGATTAAGTTATACTTATAATTATGGTATTAAGATTTGGCCTAATTTTAATACCTTCTTAAAGAGCGGCTTCCTTTATTTTTAAGTATAAGTAGCTAATGTCTAGACAAGCGGTAATGAAGATAAACGGGTGCTTAAATCGAAAAGCTACCGTAGTAAGAGCATACGATACTTATAACTCTTTAACTGAACAGTTCTTTGGAGATAAGCGATATTTCTTAAACATGTATTAAGAGGTATCTAAAATATTTTTTTAAGTTTGATATCGTATCTATATGAAAAAGAAAATTACTAAACGTCGCAAATATTTTTACTTGGAAGACACTTTAATTAAATTTTTCTAAATTTGTATATTGCTTGTTTTAATATATAAATATTAACAGGTGAATACCGCGATATTATTATGTGATCTTTAAGTAAGAAGTGATCAATGTTTAATATTCAAATTAAAAAGTTCCCCAATTATTTAGTAGGTTATATGTTAGCTATATAATGCGTTTAACCTATTTTTATTATCAGTCTGCGTTATTTTGAAGCTCAGGCAAACAAAAACAGCAAGCTGACAAAAGCAATACATAAAAAAGCTAAAATAAGACAAGTTTATAGTTTTGAAATTACTTTGTTTTAGGTTTTTGTAACTCTTGGCTCCTTAAAATTCGCTTTATACTTATGTTCTTGTACGATGTACGTAATATACACATATCTGAGGATTTTAATACATAGAAAGTTGCTTCATGCACCACTTGTTACGGAGTTTGAAGATTGTGTGTACATAATTAGATTAGTAGTAAGCGAACAATGGATTGCACCGTGACCGTCTAACGGATTTCTTTTTTTTGTTCACAGAATCACTCAGCCCGCAGTCTGAACAAATTACAAACTCCAATACGGCACCTGATCCCAATATAAGGTTAGTTTATTTTTTATATTTAGTTTTGCAAAATGGTAAAAAACGTTTAAGTACGAACTTAAAATTCAATATATAAATGCATTTATATGCGTTCCTGCGACATGTTTTCTTTTGTTTCTGTAATAGTTTATTTTTATTACAGAAACAAAAACTAAATAGAAAAAAAGATTAGCCGCAGGTTTAAACACAAATCTGGTTTACGAAAGATGTCCCGCGAGAATATGCGTATTAAAATGACATTGACAGCAAAATAGCAAATTTGGAAGACTGTGTGACGCTACTGTTACTGCGGCTAAAAAGGACTTCTTTAGTAAGAAGGCCTACTGTAACGTTTTTCTTCACCACCGAGCAGGTGGTAAATTAGCAGTTGGCACTTAAAATGGCTATTAACAATTTCATTGGTGCCGACGGAGACAAACGGGGTTTGCTCGCATACTGTGAAACTTACAGCGAGCACTTAGCCCCAGAGCTCCACGGCTCGTTAAATAAATCAATATAATTAAAAATTTAAAATTTTGTACAGCCGACTTCAATATAATTTATTAAAAATAACTCAGAAACCATTGGTCTGACCTAGATCAAATTCATATGGGACCACACGAGAATTACCAGCTTTCAAATAAAAAAAGAATCATCGAAATCGGTCCACACATAAAAAAAACAAAAACATACAGTCGTATGTTTTTTGTTACATAACAGTACCGTCTCCTTTTTGAAAGTCGGCAGAAAATGTTGTTATAAGACGGATAAGCCTCAATGCCGTGCTGAACCATATTGTTTAATCTAACAGGAGGTACCGCACCGCTTTCACGAGGGAGCAACTCGCGCGTCTGGAGAAGGAATTTATGAAGGAGAACTATGTGTCGAGGCCACGAAGGTGTGAGCTCGCCGCTCAGCTGCAACTGCCAGAATCCACTATTAAGGTGTGTTTATCTCATTATTATTTAATTCACTAGCATTCACTTTTCGTAGTTGATATTAAAATTAACTCTTATATCTATATAAATAAAATGATAGATGTTTGCAGTTGTGCGCACATCACGGCAAAAACTACTGGATAGATTTCAATTAGGTTTTCTAAGTTTTATTTCTTAGCTATTTGGCCCTTATCTAAAAAAATATTGCGACATCTTCATTTAATATGAAGTTATTACAGTTTTAAGAAACGGCGATTTAATACGCACTACGTGTTCAGTGATATGTGTTTCCTTGATATATCAAGCAACACCGACGAAGTCGTGAGTATCAGCTAGTTATGTAATAATCTTGTCCTTGATTAGTATATTCCTTGATATAGTACAAATATAACGAGTTTATAAGTAACTCATTGGCCCAGACTGTATTTTGCTGTTTGTAGTATTGTCATCGTCTTTAAGCTGTCAGTTTTGCGACATGTTTCTGTTTCTCTTCAGTGGTAAATGCAATTTCTTCATTCATGAGTCCACCCACGTTGTGACCCGAATAAAATCGACCTCGAATCGAACTCGTCGACGACGACATTTTAGTAATATAATGACAATCACTTAACAAGCAGTATAATATGATTGATTCTCAATATTATAAACATTATTATTTCTGACTTTGATACAATGTTGAGGAAAATAAATCGAACATTAAGAAACGTCATAAAACCAAATTTATTGTACGTCATAATTTTTTATATCATACATCAATTTCGCGAAGTGTTTATTATTTGTTTAATCTATTACTTTTAAAGCTGCTTTTATATTTACACAAAATAAATGAAGAAACACACTTTAAAACAGGGTTTCCCAACCTTTTTTTTGACCAGGGCCACTTCGATTTTTTTTGCAGCTAGCTCGGACCCCAAGTGGAACAAAATACTGTGTTAATCTAACAATAAATTACTATCACAACTTTTAACACAGTTTATATAATAAGCTGAAAAGAAGCATTCATTAACAGTATTATTTGTGTGTTTATTGTAAAAGCTAGTAGGTATTTAGATACTAACGTGACACGCGGTGTTGCACTGCCTGCGTAGCGAGAAAATAATAAATGTATAAAACGATTAGGTAGGTAAAATATTTAAATGTTTCGCGGACCATATTTAAGTTCTTGTGGACCACTGATTGGGAACCACTGCTCTAAAACATGGTGTTTAAAATGGTCTTGATAATTATGTCGACGCCTTGAGAATGATGCTTCAATTAGAAACACAATAATTTCCATCACGAACACTTTATGGCTTGCCGCTAATTCGCAGAAATCACGTTACCAACGTGTGAATGTAAATGACATTAAGAATAATATATCTATACATATAAATAAAATTGAAGTGTGTGTCTGTAATATCGAAATAATTGCCTTATACTGAGCTGAGGATAATGAAAATATATGCTATAAAGATATGAATAACCATTTTAAATATTTTTTTTATCTGTCCGGGCTAATTTTAGAAGTATTATTTTTAAGTATTTAATTTTAGAAATTTGATGAACAGATAGAGGGCAATTCCATGACTGATCTAGACTGTAGATATTATATTATCTAAAAACTTGGAGATTAAAAAAAAAAACGAAAAATTGTTAAGATAAAGTCTTTGATTAACTTAAATATAAATAATGCCTCATTAATAAATCCAACGCAGGCGAAGCCAGGACGGGTTGCTAGTCTTTATATAAAAAAGGCAATCAAGGTGAAACTCAAACGACAGTAAAACGTCATAAAAATACTGTGACTCTAATATAACGAATTAATCGGGAATACCGTATTCTACGCTAATTTAAATTTAAAATTCTTATTCGCGCGTAAACATTAGTTGTCCAGTCATAATCTCAATTATCACTTGGACTTAAAAAAAAAAGTTCCAACGGTCCGAAAAAAAAAACACGTGTTTATATTGCTTTATTCGAATTTTACATTCACGCTAATTTGTCGATGCACATTAATAAAAGAAACCGGCCGAATTATTCAGTAGCTGTAGAACTCTAATGAACATTAATGCCGAAAAGAACGAAACCCTCTCAGCACTATAAAACGCCTATCATTAGTGAGCGTGTATATGAAAGAGTTCGTCGCTTGTCTATGGACGGCCATCTGCTTTACGGCGCGATTATACCAATTAAAAACTATTAAATTAAGCCGCGGCTACCATTTGATGCATTGTAAAATGGAGAATTCGATTTTCGTGTGTTTGTTTATTGTGATGATTCTTTATTGAGGTAATAAAAGCACGATAACATTTACATAAAAATTTCACTCGCGCTGCTTTCTTATTTTTCCCGTTTTTAGTCAAATGATTTAACAGACACGAACTGATTATTAACCTATATACTTATTTATAATTTTTTCTTACTTAATATCTAAAAAGGTAGTTAAATTAGAATATTAAAGTTAATCTAAATTTTAAACAAGAAATAAATATTAAAGAAAAAATCCCATGTGTATATGATCTTATGTCTTATATGAAATTTTCCCTCCAAATTTTTTTCGTTCCATACATTGAGTTATATGTACTACGTACTAGAGAAGCCATTCCGAACATAGACTATTTTCAACTGAACTAGTGCAATCCATACAAACTAAATATTGCGTAAATTGAAGATTTGTGAATTCCATAAGATAATTATTGTTACATTTTATTTAGAAATATGTTTGTTTAGATTAAATTAAGATATTTTATATTAAATTCTTATATTTATTTTATATTAATATCTTATTTTATATTAAATTAAAGTCTTCGCGCATGCGCGACTACTACTCCCGCGCATGCGCGAAGACATAGAGTAGGACACAATTTTTGTTTGGAATGGCTTCTCTAGTACGTAGTACATATAACTCAATGGTTCCATGTTTAACTGAGATTAAAAAAAACAATGCTGCCGACAGTGTTATCCTGGCATGTCATAAAATTCAACTAATGGGATATTGGGTTTGTGAGTGTTCAGGTGATTGTTAACGTAACACATTTCTCGCACAATTGAAATTTACACATTTTTTGCTAAGCGTGTTCCATGTTCTTGGACTCTGCCTACTTCGTCGGGGATTATAGGCGTGACGCTATGTATGTATTGAATAATATACCGCAAATGAAAATCTGCCATTTTCTGAAAGCCACTGCAAAACTCCCGCCAATTTACACGTCATTCGCTGCCTCGGCGAACAAAAGACGTTTTAAGACATCTTAAAGGGAAACTTTGTTTGTATACTTTGTTGTATTTTACCGGGACGGCCATTATGCCGCGTTAATGATTTCGAGATGGCTTTAAAATGTTTCTCTCTGCGCACTGAATATTTTATTGCCGGCAGCTGTTTTTTAATATATTCAATTAATTAGCGATGGTGTGCGAAAACTCGCTGTTGAGTTATACGGTTTCATATAAGTGGAATATGATTATAGGGGATATTAATCTGTATAATAATGCGCTTTTGCTCACTGTAACTAAAGTTTGAATAATTTAGACATAGCAAGCAATGTCTACTATTAATGACGCCCTTTTGATAACATTATTAAAAATAATAATTCAAGTTTTACGTGGTAGAGCCTTGCTGCAGCTATATTACTGGTATAGTTGTAGCACGAATGGGTCGGCTCGACCGGGGAAGGACCACGCTCTCACAGAATACCAGCGTCAAATAGCAGCTTAATGCTGCTGTGTATATATGGTGAGTGTAGAGAACAGGAGACCCATTTTACTGGAAACGAGGCATTCCATCTTAGTCCTCACGGGTGACAACGCATCTGCATTTTGATTCATAGTCGAGGATAGATGTAGATGTCTATGGGCCATAGCAACCACTTACCATCAAGCGGACTGTATGCTTATATCCTATAAAAAGGTTATAATTACTTTGTTTTTGTCAACAGGTATGGTTTCAAAACCGACGTATGAAAGACAAACGCCAGCGTATTGCAGTGGCGTGGCCGTATGCAGCAGTGTACAGCGATCCGGCCTTTGCCGCTTCGATACTTCAAGCGGCTGCGTCTTCTGTAGGCCTACCATACGGATACCCGTCCCCAGCACTCTTGCCACCTTTTCACAATCCGCAACTTCTGCCCACCGGTTATCCTTACCCGTACCCACCGTATCCCCGGTATCCTTATATTCCACCTACTCCCCCGTCTCCCGTCAATGCCGAACCCTCGCAGTTACGGCCACCGTATTCCAATTTTAATTTAAACGTGGACAAATAAAATTTATCTAGTTTATTGATAAGTCAAGTACTTTTATCGGAGAAAGTCCTGTGTATGTATGTAAATAGATTTCCTTGTAATATAGATAATTTATTAACTGTGGACCCTATCTCCTGAAAAAGCTAAAGACTCAATCTTACTGTTAGCTTTATTATAATGAAATAGTTATTAAGTTATTTGAAGTAAAGTGATCCGAAATATACGTTCAATCCAGTTCAATACAATGATAAAAGACATAGAGTTAGGAGCTATTAGGATAAGTGTAATCTCATTCCAATTTGTACAAAGCAGTATATTTTATACGAGTTAATATTAAAAAATCATGGCGATCTATGGTTCATCTATGAAAATATTCAAAGCATTCTAGATTGTATGCATATTTCTGTACATTCAGATTTTTTCCTACATTTTTCTTTTTTTTTAAATGTTACTATTGCTCTAACATTACTCCTGTACCTTGAACGAGATTTATACAAGTTTCAGCAAAGGTCTGCAGCGATTTAATTAAATCTTAGCTAGCGTGCTGCCGAGCCGTCAAATACAGTCAAGTTTATTTTAATTGTAAATATTTATTTTATGAAACAAAGTGTCATTTTGAATTAAATTAGTGCAATATATATGTGAAAGACAAAATAGCGCATCGTCTGATGTGATTTAATAATCATTGAATTTTGCCTTGTTTATTCACGCTTGATAAAAAGAAAGATGTCATGTGGCTGTAACGTCGTAAGTTAAGTAGTTTTTGATGTAAATGTGTACATTTAAGTTACATGCTTAGTTAAGTTTTAGTGTTCATAGCATAAAATAAAAACTTGTAATTTAATTTATAGGAAAAATTGTAAAAAGTTACTGTTTAAATATAAAAGAGGTTAATAAGAAGTTATATATATATATATCATTTTGGTTGTTTTATTTCTTCGCTAGCCTTTGATTTATACATTGTGCGTTCTATTTAGTTCTCCTTAAGGCGGACTTAATTAGGTACAAGTAACTATATCTTCTAGTAACTCTAAACCTTCGACTAGGCCAGATACATTCACTTGCCTTCTTAGTCTATTCTCTTAAAGTTCTATTGTCTTCAAATAGTTAACAAAATTCATTAAAAAAGTTTGATTTTAAAAAATGACGTTTTACCAACGGAATATAATTTATTACGTTGAAAATATTCATTCAAATAATCATGCAAATATTCATGCAAGAAATGTCTGACTCTTGAAAGTATTATTATAAATATATATATTTTTATAGACTAACTGCAACAAACGAGCGCACAGTCCACCTGATGATTAAGTTGAGGCTGTGGCCTGTCTTGATGTGTCAATCTTGAAATGTTATATGGAAGATGATAACTTAATCAAAGAGAAATACGTGGTAGAGCCATGCTACAGCTGTGTGGTTGTAGCACGAATGGGTCTGCTCGGCCGGAAAGAACCACGTTCTCACAGAATACTAGCGCAAAATAGCAGCTTAATGCTGCTGTGTTTCGTATGGTGAGTGTAGATAAACGGAAATCCTTTTTACTGGAAACGAGGCATCCCATCTCAGTGCTCGGGAATAAGAATCAAAATGCTTAACACATGCATCATGTGTTAAGCATTTTGATTCTTAATTGAGGATAAATTTAGATGTCTATGGGCCACAGCATCCACTTACCATCAGCAGGGCTAGCATGAGCAGGAGACAAGTAGATAAAATGAGAGATAGAATTAGATAGATTTTTTGTATGAATTAAAAGTTAAACCCACGTCCAAAGAACTAGGATAAAATTGTCCCTTTCAAATGTCAAAAAAGCATAATTTTTTATCTTTCATTTGGCTCCATGTTACGGACGGGGGATATATCATATATGTCAAACGGGGATATACTTATCCCCGTTGCCTTACTTTGGCACAAGGACAAGATAATTTTCTCTCTTGTCGGTGGATATAATCGGGGGATAAATTTTTTGTTCCCAGCTCATGCTAGCCGTGCAGGTGGACTGTGTGCTCGCTCATCACCCTTATTCTATAAAAAAAAAAAACAGACGTAGTCGTCTATGTGCTACAGCATTCACTTATCATCAGGTGGACTGTGTGCTCGTTTGTCACACTTACTTCTATAAAAATAATTTCGATCCCCGCCGGTACCATTGTTACGGTTAATTGCAGTTTCAAGTATTGATTTACAAAGTTTTCTTAGCTGAATAAACACACCGTGAGGCAACTTGCCTATATGTTGAATTAAAAAAACCTTGAGTACAAGACAGGTCTCTAAGCTTACATTTGACCTGCGTAACTTTTTAGTACATGAAATATTTTCGAAGTCTACGATTGATGAAATAGGTTAAACTGTGACTTTTTTATAGGATAGGGTGACAAACGAGCACACAGTCCACCTGGTGGTAATTGGTTGCTGCGACCCATAAACATCTACATTTATCCTCAATAAAGAATCAAAATACAGATGCGTCATCACCCGTGAGGACTAAGATGGATATATATATATATACCTCTTTTCCAGTAAAATGGATCTCCGGTTCTCTACACCCACCATACGAAACACAGCAGCGTTAAGCTGCCACTTTACGCTGGTATTCTGTGAGAGCGTGGTCCTTCCCCGTTCGAGCCGACAAATTCGTGCTACAACTATAGACTACTAATATAGCTCCAGCATGGCTCTACCACGTAAACGTACAAGTATGAAATAAAATTTGGAAGGGTACCTTAACATTTTTGGTTTTTAAGATTTTTGACTATAATATAATATAAGACCATGAATATTACAAGCAAAAATATAAAGGATAAGAAGATCACAATGTTGCTTAATAATATCCATAGGCATAGGATTCTGATGTAGATATCAGGTGTTTGCAATATATTTAAACGTGGTAGAGCCATGCAGCAGCTACACTATATTTGTGGCACAAATGGGTCGGCTCGACCGGGGACCACGCCCTCACAGAATACCAGCGTAAAATAGCAGCTTAATGCTGCTATGTTTCGTATGGTGAGTGTAGAGTATCGGAGACACCTTTTACTGGGATCGAGGCATTCCGTCTTAGTCCTCAGGGGTGACAACGTAATTGAGGAAATATGTAGATGTCTATGAGCTACAGCATCCACTAACTGCTGTGTGCTCGTTTGTCACCTTTATTCTATAAAAAAATGTGGTAAGTAAATTATTGTTTATGGCAATAAAAGTGACAAGCACTTGCAATAATTTAATAAATTTAAATCATTTCAATTTCAAATATTCAAAAACGATTTAATTGGTATCTTACGGTTATTAAGTATTTCCGCTAAATACAGCTATTTTCCATTATCCTTTATAATAAAAAATCTAAATCTCTGAGCCTTTCCTTACTTTCCCCTTTAATTAACGGAAGGAGCCCAGTCTTAAAATGATGCGAAACAAAATAAAATTGTGTCCATCATGTGTTAATTGTGTGTCAATAAATCTCTTTTAATAAGGTGAAACATCCCCTTTATTGCGTGCAGTGACGATGCGCAGTTGGCTTAATTAGAGCGACTGCGCATTATCCGACCGGCTTTTATCAAACTGGTGACGTATTGGCAGTGTGATGGCAATCGGCTAGTAGTCAAGGTGAGGCTGATTAATAGACTAAGGTGAAAATGGAGAAGTTTATGCAGAAGGACACTTTAATGATGCCTCAAAAGAGACCAATAGCAGGAGGGTAGGTAGGAACAGTAATATATTATAGGATCGTACGTTTCGTGTCGTTCTCTGAACTCATAACATCACTTGACGTACGTCATTGCTGTACGTCAAGCCTACTCATTGTAGTTTTGCGTCGTGCATCGTGCATGACCTTGGCGGGACGTACGTCAAGATGAACCGTGTATAAGGACGTTTTAGGTTAACATCAAGAGAGGACTGTCAAAACTATTTGTCGCATTTTTTTATCAAAAATCCCAAGGTTTCTACAGTCACTACCTACAAAATGTCAACAAGTTATTTAACAAAATGCTACATAGGTATATATTACTAGATGTACCCCGCGACATCGCCCGCGTGAATTTTACTACAATTTCATAGGTTTTAATTTTTTGCGCGGAACCCTAATTATTTTTCGAAAATAAAAGTATCCTAAGTTACATCTTATAATATCAGCTATTCCAGACAGTGAAAGTCCCGTCAAAAGCGGTCCCGCCGTTTCAGAGATTAGCCGGAACAAACTACTACCGCCACCCATGAACAACTGCAACACCAGGGGAATTGCAGACGCGTTGCCGGCCTTTTAAAAAGGAGTAGGGTCTTTTCTTGCAGGTCCCTAAGTCGTATCGGTCCGAAAAAATCGCTAGTGGTAATCGATTCCACAAGGAAGTTGTCCGAGGGAAAAAACATCTTTTAAATCGCACAGTGGTGGACCGCCAATCATCCAGGTAGTATGGATGGTATCGTAAGTTTTGTCGCGATGTGCGATGGTGAAATTGAGCGGCTGGAATTAGTCCGAACAATTCCTCAGAGCACTCGCCGTGGTAAATGCGCTAAAATACGCAAAGAGATGCAACATCTCTACGCAGTGCCAGTGTATCGAGCCGATCAGAAAGAACCCGGTTGTCGACGATTCGAACCGCTCTGCGCTGGATGCGGTCAAGTAGAAGGAGCTGGCACTGGGATGCCCCGGCCCAGAGATGAGAACAGTATTCCATGTGAGGCCGGATTTGCGCTTTGTAAAGTTGCAAGCGATGTGCCGGCATGAAATAGCGTCTCGCTCTGCTGATCACGCCAAGCTTTTTAGAGGTCAGTTTGGCCTTCCCTTCCAATTGACCACGAAACTGCACGTCACTCGATATGTCGACGCCGAGGATTTCGATACTGGCTGAAGCAGCAAGAGGAGTGCCATGAAACTGAGGAGATACGACAAAGGGGTTCTTTTTAGCGGTAAACGCGCAAACTTGTGTCTTCTGGGGATTGAACTGGACTAGATTTAGTCGCCCCCAATCCGAGACTTTGTTCAGCAAAGACTCGACTTCAGACATAAGTTTGTCCCGGTACTC